GAGTAATAATATTCATGAGAACACAAATTAAAATAGGGAATGTTAAAGTAGACTGAACAGAAAATATGTGTTGGATAGTTCAGTTAGATCCTTTTTTAAAGATATCATAAAGATAAAATTGAACATTTATGTAAAATTATTGTATTTTGGGCAATTGCCTGTATTAAATAAACAAAATTTGAGAATGTGCAACAGATACTACAAAGTAATGTGGCATTACAAGGGAGTTTACTACCTGATCCTGATCTGTCATTATCATTAATTTTCCATATCTCAGAGTCTTCAAATCATCCATATTTTCATATTTCCTCTTGTATTGCAGTCCAAGAATTTTAACCACTTCAGTGATTTCTTTATTCTCCAAAATCTGAAAGCAATGAAAAAGAATTGAAAAGAGAATTAAAGAATATCATCTATGTGAAACTGGTCACATACAGGGGTTGGACAAGATAATATGAACACCATGCAATATAGTACATCTCTTCACATATTTGCACAACTACAGAAGTGTAAACTTTGCAATGCAACAGCATTGCACCGTTGACACGCCACATTTTGAAGGTTATATTGTAGTGTATAATAGACATTTGTCTGCGACAGTGAACACAAGTTGTCGATTAAACCCACCAATTCACAGACTTCGAAATAGGGCAAATTGTGGGTGCAAGGTTAGCATAAGCATCTTTGACTAAAACAGCTGAACTGTGTAATGTTACACGTGTGACAGTGTTCCCAGTACAACTGGGAAAAATCATGACTTATTTTATTGAAAAAAATAAAGATACTATATATTTGAGAGGTCCAGTGCAATACCCTCTCTCTACTCAGCTTAAGCAGTAACGAAAAAGTAAAATATGAAATTGATACCCTACTTTCAGTAAATAATTTTCTGCAAGAGCTAAACAGCGATCACCACATCTGAGGGGAAAAACTGGTGAAACGATGTGATCTGAAGGCAATGTAGAATTATAAATGTGAATAAAAAAAAATCCTGCAAAACATTTTCAGTTGAGTTATTTCACAGTATGAATATATATCAGTGTATAACCACATTTCACCTAAAATGTACAACTGTTTTAAATTTTAAAAATTATAATGCTTTAACAAATTGGCGTGAAGACAATCAACTATTATTACATCCCTCCCTAGTGTAAAAATATAACCTTTTACTATATACATACACATACACACACATTAATGTACTTACGCTAATTCATCAATACTCTACCCTGGTCCATCCAATAATTGAATACTGCTCATGATACAGTCACCTTATACAGATACTCTCGTCAAAAGAATTGACAATGTTCAGAAAAAATGTTTGTAAATATGTTAGGCACTATAGCACTGAGTATAGAGCAATTTTTATTAATGGGATGTTTTGGACAGCTAGTGCTGGCAACACTACTGAAGGTTCTGGGGTCATCGTGTTCTTGAACCTATTAACCTTGATTGAAATTGCATAATGTACTGATTGAAATTGAACCTTCCTCCTCCATTCGTTCATTTGCAGTTGGCTAACTTGTAAATGGCTTCAACTTCTTTTTGTAATGTCCTTGTCTGACGGAAATACAGTGCGCCACGAGAAATAATTGAAATTAGGAAGTGCAGAGCTATGTGCTCTTCTGTAAAAAATATTTTTTTATATAAACTTTACATTGAATTTAGTTTTCAAGTGATAAGTATTATGATTGTTTTGGAATCGAGTTTTGAATGTGAGATGTGTACTGGTGATGGTTCACGTGTTTCCGGCTTCTGCGCTGTGTGGCGAAAGAAGAGCTATGTTCGGGAGCGTTTTGTGGTTCCGTGCTTTTTATTTTTAATATAATTGTAACATGATTGTGAACCATGAGAAGCCACAGTGGGTTCAAAGCACATCCTCCTTGTTCACATCAGCAACAAGAAGACATTATATTTGTCACGAGGAAAATAGAAGAAATGCAATGATAATGAAGACTGGAAGCAGGATCTGTTCTGATGCTTACAGTAGAACTGCTGAATCTGAGCGAAAATACAGTTTTAAAATAAGCTTTTATATTATTATTATTATTATTATTATTATTATTATTATTATTACACTTTAACGACTGCTATTGTGCAATTGATAAAAGTGTAACTGTAGGAATTCTGTGTATTTAGGTATTATAAACAGGACACAAATAAACTGAGAATTCCTGGAAAGAAAAAAAAAATCTATGTTGAGGATGTGGCTTTCAATGCTATTACTAAGATTTGGATTATATTTCCCTAGATGGAGGACTGTACATTTATTGGAGTCTGAAGGCAGCAACCTAGATTCCAACCATCTCACCACTTTGTTGAGGTCATTTTGTAACATATGATAGTTTTTTTAGTGGATTTGAGAACAGTTTGGTGTTCCCCGCATAGCAGTTCCAACTGGAAGACAGATCATCACCTAGGTCGCAAGTGTATAAAATGAAAAGTATTTGACCTCGAACTGAACCTTGGGGGACACCACTTGTAACGGCACAAGGTCTTGACAATGTGATTCCAATCGCCACCTGGAATGTTCTGTCCAATAAATACTCCTCAATCCACCTCAATAGTTTACCTCATAAACTCAAAGATGAGAGTTTGTGAATGAGTCGTTTATATGGTACTTTATTGAAAGATTTAGCATAATCTAGATAAATGACATCAACGGGTTGTTTCTGGTTCAATTCTTTGGGCCATACATCTAGCGACTGGAGTATATTTGTAGATGTTTATCTTCCTTGAATGAAACCATTGTTGTTAGGGATAATATAATTTTCAAATGCATGATCTAAAAGCTGTTGAACAAGGATCCTTTCCATGACTACTCACTATGCTTGTCAAACTTATTGGTCTCTGGATATTTGGTACTTTATCTCCTTGGGGGACAGGACACCAAAGGGAAGCTGCTGGCCCTTGAAATGGACTTCTGGTGTAGAAGTTGCTGTTATAGCAGACATGACCGAATCAGACATAGCAGACATGACCGGAAAAAAAAAGGGGGGGGTGTAAAGGAATCTACCCTTGACGAAATAGAGCAAAAACAAATCTTCTGGTACAGTCAAGTTATGCGAATGACTGATGAAAGATGGCCAAAACGATTCCTGCAAAGGTGCCAACAGAAAAACGAAAGAGAGGAAGGAGAGGTTGGAGAACCCAAATATTGATTATACTGTTGGAAATCACATCCTCTACTCTACGATAGAACAAAATGATCTTGGCGTTATTATCACTCAAAATCTGAAATGGGATAACCAAGTGTTTACGATTACTAAAAAAGCCAATAAGCTACTATACCTGATTAGAAAGACATTCTCCACATTACGTCCATCTATGGTGAAACTGATCTACACTGCATATATTAGACCTATACTAGAGTATGCTAATGTGGTTTGGTCCCCCTACTATCAGAAAGATAAAAAACATATTGAAAAAGTACAAAGGCAGATTACAAAGATCCCTAGAGAACTACGTCAACTTGATTATGAAGGAAGATGCAGAGAAATGTCTCTTCTAACATTAGAACAGAGAAGAAGTAGAAATGATATTGTAGAAACGTTTAAGATCCTGAAAGGATTTTATAACGATCCTGAATTCAACAACTTTATCATTAAAGGATACGCATTGAAACAGGTGAAAGAGAGGACAAGGACAGGACAACGTTCCCATTTTATTGTGAACCGAGTGGCAAACACATGGAATACACTTCCCGCACTTTGTACACAAAAGGAAACTCTGAGCGCCTTTAAGGATTGTCTGGATAGTCAATTTTTTGTGATCAATTGAATGATGATAATATATATATGTATATATCTCCACAAGTGCTATTATCTGTGATTTGTAATTGTGATCTAATTATAACTGTATTACTCTACGGACATTATTTATTATATAACTTTATTTTACACTGATGTAATGATATGTGTACAACAGCTTGTTGCTGCCACCATTAATAAATTAATAATAATAATAAAATTGATGCAAGGAGTAAAGGCAATACCTGCAGGGCCAAGGTAAGATAAGCGGGCAAAAGGCAAAGAAAGATCGATCAGTTGAGTTGTGGCCATTTTATATCTCAGTCTGTTTCTTATAAAATTGCATTAGTTCAAAAATAGCATTTTCAACATCACTGTTTGCATGCTAAATGTAGTAATAATCTATGGGAACCCCAAAGATACAGAAAAGACTACATTGGATGTAAACCAACCTCATTAGTTAAAAAATCTGGTGGGTCAATTGTTTTTCAAGTTGATTAATGCCTAGACACCAATACTTTCTTCTGTCATACATACCTGTTTGGATGAGGCTTCTCGCACATTGAGAAGTTTACCCCTGAGAGGGTACACTCCATATTTATCTCTTCCCACTACACCCAATCCAGCAACAGCCAATGTTTTGGCTGAGTCTCCCTCAGTTAAAATTAGTGTGCAGTCCATGGAATACTTTGACCCAGCATGATTTGCATCTTCCAGTTTTTTCACTTGAAAGAATAAATCAGAACATTAACATTTTTACCACTTACAATAACTGAAAAAATCTGTAAATACTTTCATATCTAATATGAAAACTACTATTATCCAAGAAGAGATGTATTCCCTTAAAACTGTTAAGACTTAAGTCTGACCACTACCTTCTTTATTAACAATATAATACATTAACGTAGTTCAGCCTGAATGAAATTACGTTGTTTAAAGTGGAGTACAGAGGGTGAGAACACTCCTGTGCTCAATCATGTGATGATAAATGGCTAACAACTAACGGCACATGGGAATAGAACTACTGACAATTCTTTTAGTTCATTCACTTACGATTTTGAGTTGTCCGATTATCTTATGTCGTCGTTCCTGATTCTGTCACGTCTGCTATAACAGCAACTTCTACGCCAGTAGTCCATTTCAAGGGCCAGCAGCTTCCCTTTTGTTCTTTTATCGGTCTCCCAAACTTCTGAACCGTATGTTGTAACACTTAACTAGCGAAGAGTAAAGACATCTTTCAGTAGTGTTAGTGATGGTTTTGTTCCATAAGACAGAGTTTATACTTAGTGTCATGTTTCTCCCCAAGCTTATTCGTCTCTCAATTTCATCATGGCTCTTTCCCTTATTGTTAAAAAGTACACCAAGGTATTTATATTTGTTTACCCCTTTCATTTTTTCTCCATTTCTCCTCATTTCCACAAGAAGATCTTCTATTTATTTTAAACGCCACTGCCAGGTATTCAGATTTGTCCCATATTAATCAATTAAGTCCTGTTAAAAAAAAGTGTGTGCATTGAGTTTACGTATCATGTAACTCAAAAATCGTTCTGCATCTTCTGCAATTTACTACCTGGTCATTGTCAGAAAAATATAAACGTAAACAATTTAATTATCCCTTTTCCTCTCCGATCGTCATTCCCATTACTCTGCATTGTTTCTTCTCATTCTCCCCACTGCTGTAAATTTCGATGGCAGATATATTTTTAAATATAAAAAAAACAGTGTTGGGGGAACACAACAACCCCTGGAGAGAAGACGTTTTGCTGACTGGGAAATGGTTTCTGAGAGAGCCTGCGTAGATCTTAATCTGAGAGGTGTTATTCTTAGCTATATAGATTCTGTGTGGCTCCAATTAACATTTTCACGTGATTTTGAAGGTCCATCCATTTCTTCCATAACTCTAGCAACCGGTACATTGTCATAAAAACGCCTTCTGAAGATCAATGAAAAACCCAGATGAACTTGCCCTACCGTCTCTTGTTCTCTTTCATAAGGTTGTTTAAAATTTGTAGAATGATATTGTCTATGACCGACCTAGCTGTCTACCTATAGATCCAATACTGCTATTTTCCTCTGTAGTTTGTTTCAGAATTGTCTCTAGATCTCTTATGGGATTGATGTGGGTAAGACGTTCACAGTCACATCCTGAGGAGGTTTTTCTCCCCCTCCATTCATGTGGCATGCTTCAAAACATGTGTTTTGGAGAACGTATTTGGTGGGCAGTTTTATTATGAGGACTATATTTCAAGTAATTTGCCGGTATATTTAAAACACACACAACACAGTCTCCCGGACCAGGTGCGCTTTTGGACTTTCATGTCTTAAAGTGCATTTTCTAAATCTTTACATTGTCAGATCTACCGTTTGCGTTCAAATTTACTTCATTGTGTGCTTTGGAAAGTTTCTGTTTTCTAAGAAGCAGTCTTTCGAAATCATTCTTTCCATTTATTGATTCCAATGTTTGATAATGCGCAGTATGTTTTTCCTCGATTCGATTTATAAAATAATTTCAATATTTTACTCAGGCTTCTGAGCTGCCGTGCTTCACCTATGAATTGTTTCTATATAATCGCATTTATCCGCCATAATTTATTCTCCTTGATAATACTCTTCTTGGTTTTACTTCTCTACTTATTGCTTTCTAACTGTTAAATTTAGTTTCGATGTTATTTGTACTAAGCCATTTTAAAATGACAGTTCTCTTTTCCTCTTAAATCTTTTCTTCTGACTTGTGTCCCCCGAATTAACTGTTTTTCGGTTTTAATTTACAAGTACCTTAAAGCCTCCCTGCCGCTTGGGTGAATCATGACATTCTTTTGTGTTATAAAATTCTTTCTCGTATTGGCTGTGTTTTCCAATAGTTTAGTTAAGAAGCCTTTTTCTGTAGAGATATGCTGTCTTTCAATCGAAAGGAACTGCTTAATATTGTGTATTTTGGTAGGTTCATGACAAATCCCTCCTTATTTTCTTTATTCTGTGCTATTCCAATGTAAATTGTAATGAACAATTTTAGCTTACCCAAACAACGATCGTACAAATGGGCTATTACCTTTCACTCAACATTTGGACTTTTTGATGAAGTTTTTTTGTTTAAGTTACTACGAGGTCCTATTATAGGATTTTAGTTTGTTTTTTTTGTATGTTTGTACCTGACGTCTGTCGATGGTATAAATACTATGAATATCTTTAATGGTGAAAGAAAGTGTTATAATTTCATTTCATACTCTTCACAAAACAGTTTAATAAGGTCTTTTCCCATTGTCATTGCAAGTTTCCCCCACCATGTTCACTCAGCAATATTGTGTCTTGGTCTCTGCCCAACCCTGGGTGCGTAAAAAAATCTCGGCAAATATTTTTTCATGGGACTTGGAATACTATCAAGTGGTCTTTGACTGTCCATTTTCAAATCATCTTTCTTAGCCAGTTTGGGGCATCATCTTCAAATCTATATCATTTCCTATGACAACATCGTATTTTCCCTCTCAGTGTA